ATATATATATATATATTTGCTACAATGCCATTTTGTAATTTAAAGTGCAACTTCAGATAGAACTTCTAATTATGGGAAGAGTGGGTGCTATTTAGTTCTTCCTTTTGGATTTATACAGTACCATCTTTAACTGCACACCCTTCTATACAAACTGTGAGCGACAGTGTGGGGCAAGATGTTGAATGTTCGTTTTTTTATTCCTGTCTATGTTCCCACTGGGGAAGTTTGCTTTCTCTTTCTGTCTCGGAGACACAATACTTGCCAGCTGTGAGGAGATTGCCTCCTTTTTTCTTTCAATTTCTGTTCTGGTAAAAATTAAAACAAATTGGACTTTGTGCTGTCGTTATCTTCCAGCAAAAGCTCATTGGGTCATGGGGCCCAAGAGTTGGAGTGAATTTCCTCCATTGTTAGAGTACAACTATTAAGAAAATAGAAAATTATGTGATGCAACACAATGAAAAGCGTATCAGCACTTACAGTTTTTGTTCCCCTGCACAATCTGCCAAATATTTATTGAACCTGCCAGTAAAGTCCACCTAAAGTTTTCTGTGATGGTTTGGCAACAGTGTTGCACTGCCACTGAATTCAGAGAAGAGTTGTTGCTCTTATATAGACTGCGCCTGTTTGCACACTAAAACAGTGGGATTAAAAACTGTTGCAGGGGGTGTGGCTATCAGTATTCTCACTGATTGACAAGCCCGTATCTTGTTAGTCTTTACCTGGCAACACGTAGCCTGCCCACTGCTTTTTGGATTGACAGCAATGTCTCTGTTGCTGTAATCCACCCACTGTGAGCTGCAGTATCTGAGAGGTGGAGCACGTGAGAAACAAATGAAGGAGGATTTGGCTCAGTCAGGGACTGTAAAGGATGTTTTTTTGTTAACTTTATAATGTGTGCAGGACTTAGTAATTGGATCTGGTACTTGTTTAGACTGTAATACAGGAGTCTTTAGCTGTAATTCAACATCTCTCTAAATCTGCAGCCTAAAAATGCAGCCAGCTTTAATTTTCTAAAACTGCCAAAAAAGTGCCACTTCTATATAAGTCTGGCAACTAGGGGTGTGCTGTGCACTGCTTGTTAACAGAATGCCCCCAAAAATATTATTTCTTATTCATGTGATTGGTTCACTGGTTTCTGAGCTGTTTTCCCTTATTGCAGCACTGATCATGTGATATCAGCTAGCCCTTTTTTGCTGGCATTCAGAAAGTAGAAAGTGAATGGAATACATGTGTTCATGGCTATACAGAATGAATCAATATGACACTGCAGTGATGTTTGCTAGAATCATTGTATGTATGTATGTATTGTATGTATGTTTGCTAAATGATGTATGTATGACATATAAGGCTTTGCCCTCAAAATGTGGGATTTTACTTATGATATATTTGACTCATCTCCACTCCACTGTAGTTTAATGCTATTTCTTACAGCCTCTAACATTTACCATTCTAGGTATCCCCTGCAATTATTTCTTCATGTTCACTCATCTTCAAAGGATTTTTGACTGAGGCTCTGTTATGGTCTGAAGGCCGATAAGAAAGAGTACTCGTTTTCGTGTTTAGAGTTGCATGTGTCCTTAGCTGTGGCGGTATGTATTTAAGGAGTTGAAGGAAGTGCTTTCGGAAATTTTTTCCAAAAAACCCATATAAGAATGGGTTCAGGCAACTGTTAAAGTAAGCAATGCATATAGTAATTGGCATGGCCGAGTCTACAATGTCTTCTACTACACAGCTTTTTATGTATCCCAGCTGGATTAAAATGTCCAGGAAAGTAAACACTTGATGTGGAAGCCAACAGAAGAAGAACACCAGAACAATTGCCACTATCAATTTAAGTATATCATCATTCCTGGTATTGCTTCTTTGCCCTTGGAACGTTAACTTAAGTGTCTTCCCAATAAATGTGTAGCTTGTCAAAATGATCAAGAAAGGAATAAAGAACCCAAGAACATTCTTTGTGATTCCCATTCCAATCAACACATTATGTGTTTCATTGGACTTGTAGTAAAAAGCGCACACTGTTATGTTTGCTTCTTTAAGAAGGATTACTTTCCGAAAGATATATGTGGGGAGGCTAGCCAAACATGCAAGAATCCATATTGCAATACAAGTTATCTTGGCAAACATCATGGTGCGGCGTATGCGGGATTTCATTGGGTGCACGATAGCTCTGTATCGGTCAATGCTGAGACATGTAAGCAGAAGGATAGAGGTGTATAAATTTAATGTAATTGCTCCTGATGCCAGTTTGCACAAAAAGCTTCCGAAAGGCCATTCGTAGTGCATGGCTGTATAGACTGCCCATAGAGGTAACGTGATCACAAAACACAAATCTGCAATGGCTAAATTCATCAAAAATATGCTGGCCACTGTCCTTATTTTCATGTAGCAATAAATAACGATGACCACAACACTATTTCCAAATATTCCTATGACAAATATTATGCTGTAAATTATTGGGACAGTGATGAATAAGTAATTGTGTCTTCCTGATTTGGAACAGTCAACTTCAAAATTTTCTATTGATGTATTCATGTTGAGGATTTCAAAGGCTGTTTTATTTTCAATTATGAAACAATACCTGAAAAGAGAAAAGGTAACAATGAATACAGTTATTTTTAAACATAATATGCAACAGTAATAATTACCTTTTTGTTAATTTCTTTTACTCTTAGATATTTTCAACTTACTTTTTTGACACTCTTTAAAATACAGCCATATTTTTTGGGGGGTTAAATAGAGTGTGGAAGAGTTAGAACACCTATCAGGTTTATTGCTACCCAGGACTCCATTAGAGAGATTCCCATTACTTCCTGTTCTGCTGATAATGGTTTCACCAGACAGTAAGTGATTGTACATCATCAATTGCAACTCAAGTTACAAATTAAAATGCAGTGTCAACCCCTGTCAGCTCTTAATTGCTGCCTAAGTTGGAGATTTTTTTTCTCACTTCCTGCCTGGTGAAACTATAGCCAGTGTATAGTCAGGAAGTAAAGGGAAATCTCTCTAAATTCCAGATGGCATTAAAACCAGAAAGAAATAGCATACCTATAGCCATAGCAGCCCATGTGACGTGTGGGTAGGAGGGAGGACCCTGTGAAGTCTGAGTTATAAGAATTGCTAGTCGTAGATCCTTTTTTGCTTTATTTATTTTGTTTAGTTGTGTAGATTTATTGCCCTCAGAACTTTTAATACAGCTCAGCCACTCTACAATTAACCATAAATGCCTAATACAGTCTTCCTGAGACTCTAAAAAAATCCCAAAGTGTATCTTTAACACTTAATAAAGCATAGGAGTATAGTGTAATTGTGGGCAGGAGCGCTACCAATTATGTCATCAAGTGAAATATCCTGAAGGTTAACACTATGTCTACAATTTGACTAATAGAACACCTCTTCACATCCAATCAAAGTTTGTAGTTATGCTTCCCACTCTATCCAAAACAAAACAAAAAAGTTTTGATGCACATACAAAATATTTTAAGCAGATATTTTCTGACTCTGGGATTGCATACTAGTCCCAAGGACATTATGTGACATGCGGTGAAGCTGAGTAGGTTCAGCTTTACTACCAAGGAGTGTGACCCAAGAGTGTGAGAATAGGAGCTTTCATCTCAGGCTTTTGACAAATGCATTTAAAGACTACATACATTTATTGTAACTTTCATACACTTTTCAAAGGATACAATCAATAATCAGTTATGGCTTTTAAACCTGTTTCTAAAAAAAAAAGGTACAGCGGATCAATTACAAAATTATGTTTTTATTGTCAAACACTATACTTTACGATGTAGCATATTGGTTTATTATTAGTTTGCACAAAAAAACCTTCAAAATACCCAGCTTTGAACTAGAACACAAAAGCTTTCAGTGACATATGATAATATTATCCCTGACTAATACTAGTGAGGAATGATTTATAATGATCTGAATCAGGTCTCCTAAAGCAGAATTCAAGGCACCATAATCTGAATAATTTTAGAAGGGTTAGTAGCTGGTTACCTCTTCTGTGTAGCAATTCAATTGTTCTTTTCTTTCATTTGCACTGGATAGCACATTTTCCACTGTACTCTCCCCCCAGAACTGATGCCAGTTCTAAGGGAATTATAGAAACCAATACTGAAGTTGTGTCTCCACCTCCATCTATGCTTTTACCATTTACAAAATGCATGAATGCAGCATTATCACAGGCTGCATTTTGTGAAAAGGCAAGTATCGATGGAGGCAGAGATACAACACCAGCGCCAGTTGCTGTTATACATTGCAGTTCTGGTATTAGTGGAGTGAGTGGTGGATGAACAGTGGTAGCTGTTACATCCAGTGCATCTAAAAGTCCAGTTTTTTAGCTTAATGAAGAAAAGAAACACCAGACTGCTATACAGCAAGGGGTAACCAGCTTCCAACTTTTAAATCTATTCAAACGAAGTTGCCAGCAATTCAGCTGTAACAGAGGTGATTCAGATTTTTACAAACCATTCTTGACTAATTTTCTTTAAGGCCCTTTTTAAAAAGATAGCACCTTCGAAAGCCTCTGGGCACTACCAAATTACAAATCTCACAGGTTTGTGTAATTGGCACATAAAATCTTAGTGACCAATTTGACCTAAGTCTAAAAATCATCTTATATTATCCTGTAATGGTGCTCTCATAGAACCTTTTCATTCTTCTCTTATCAGACTCCAATAAAATACTTGAGAGTATTGTATATTATAATGAGTAACATTTCTGCAATAATAATATATTTAAATGCCACCTTGTCTCATAATAAAGCCAAGTGGATAAAATCCTAATAATTGCTTGCTTACAGTCATACAGCTCTTGAAATATATTGCTGCATTATGCTTTTCATTTTTAGAATAAATCATATGTACAAGATCATTGGTGATGCTGACCTATGACCAACTGTGAAATGAAGACATTGCTAATTTTGGAAGTTATCTTATCAGTACACAAGGAGAGTAATTACTGTAACGCAGAATCTACAAACCTCTAGTTTCCATATTTAGGCCTGGGAAATGAATGTTATTGAAACAACTGTGCAAATCGTACAGGGATACCATTGATAGAACAGAAATTCTTCTGCTATATGTAAAATGTAACATTTAAAATGTCCAAATAATATGAACAAATCAGATGTTTTTATTTATTGCACCTATACTAAGAACTTAGGGATCACTAATAAGTATATATAGAGGCTCATTTATGAATAAAACAATCACATTTAGTTGACACCAAACTCAGGAATTGAATCTTAAAAACACATCCATTTATCATAACTAAAAAAAATGCAGCTTATTTGTGTATCAGACAGCTGTAGATACTCCAATCATCTCTGAATTCATGCTAACACTGTCCTTCCTTCTGGAGGATGGCTACTTTTGTTCCCCATCATCCCTGTGTTTTTTTTTTAAAGTAGCCACTGCTCCAAGGTCACTCCTGTGATGGACTACAGTCTCATGCTTAGTTAGCTAATTTATAAGGAGATTGTAGTCCATCACAGGAGTGAGCCACAAATAGGAGTGTACTAGGAGCACATATGTGCTGTGGATGCAAAGGTGTCCACGGAATATAGAGTCAGTGGAGTACTCTTCCCAAAAAACAGGAGGTACAAATCAGCAGCCAGGAGTAACTTTGAGGTGTGAGGTGGTTGCGAGGATGCAGGACAGCATCCATGACAGTAAAGGCTTTGTCCAAACTATCCAAGTTCGAGATGTTAAAATATACAAAAAGGGCTCAAGCTTAGAAATGGTCATTGCTGAGTTTGTAGGTGATAGTAACGTTGAACCTCAAGAAGAACAGGGCCAACCTGGCGTGCCTGGGGTTTAAGCTATGCGTGGTCTGTAAGTATTGCAATTTCTTGTGGCAGGTAAAAATAGTTATAGGACGTATTGACCCCTCAATTAAGTGTCTTGACTTATCAAAAGCTAACATTTAGATTGGAGCAAGCAACCAGAGACAATGATATGGAATTTATTAGAATTGTTTAGTACCCCATCCCAGAAAGGAACTAAACTTTAGGGTTTCCATGTTGATAGGGAAATTTTAGAGAGAAAATTTATTTCCCCCCCACAATAAATACACAACCCCTGGGCAACATTCTTCTGGTATGAGGCGGGTTCTGCCCAACTACATGGGCTCCAGCTGGTAGCAACAACCTGGTTGGGAATTTGAGACCCAAGAAGATACCAGGAAGTGGCAAAAATGTTTAGAGGCCCCCTCTCGTAAGCAAATGTTGATCGGTTTATTAACTCCTTGCCATCTGCCAGTTGTAAAATTACAGGCAGATGGCGGATGCCTACCAGTGGGTGGACGTACATTTACGTGATTTACTTTCTGGCTGTGCACGCCCCCTAGTGAGCATGCGCAAGCAGAATCCCACCAGGGATCTAAACAGCCATTACCGGCTGTTATATACAAACGTTTGGCCGGCTCTGCAGCCGGCCGATCGCTTGTATTACCGTACCCCCCTGGTGCTGCGCTCCCCCCTCTCCCAGGCTCCACTGTCCCCGGAACAGCGACTGCCCATACTGAGAAGGAGGAGAGATCAAGATTTCCTCCACCTATGATCTCTCCTCCTTTTCTCTCTAAAGAGGGAAGCGATTTATATTACATCACTTTCGCCTTTTAGCTGTCATTTCTCTGGCTGAGAGCCAGAGAAGAAGCTGATGAAGCAGATCTCTGCTTCATTAGCTTCTTTGGGGTTCCCTAGGTGACATTAGGGGTCTCAGAGATCCCTGATGTCTCCATAAAGAGGATCTGTCATTGTTTTTGGCTATCACATTGGGGGCTTTTTAGCCCCATATGTGATAGCAAACAAGTTAAGTGTAAAACAAAAAAAGTAAAAAAAAAGAGTAAAGTCCCACATAAAAAATAAATAAAAAACACCAAAAAAAGTTTTAGGTCCCCCGCCCCCACATGCACGTGCTTATAAACCTAAATATACGTCGGGTACGCCTATGTGTGAAAACAACCATTACGCCACACATGTTACATATCTATTTACCCGACATGACCCTGTGTTTTATATTTTACCAAAAATGTGGGTGATGATAATTGTTTAATAACATAAAGTAGGGAAAACTGTTTTTAAAAAAACAACTTTTGGTTCTTTTTTCATTATATGGTAAAAAATTAAAAACGCAGTAGTGATTAAATACTACCAAAAGAAAGCTCTATCTGTCCCTAAAAAATGGTATGAAATTCATTTCAGTACAGCGTTGCATGACGGAATAAATGTCAGTCAAAGTACTGCAGTGCTGAATACTGAAAAATGGCCTGGCCAGGAAGGGGGTTTAATACCCCAGTCAGCAAGTGGTTAAGGGAGATGGGTTCATCCAGGTCAGGGGTCTGGACGTCGTGATTGACCCTGGATTACGTCGGTGGATCCATTTCTTGGGGGGTTTTTTTAACTAAAGGACTTGTCAAAAAAAAGATTTTTGATTAAAGTCTGGTGTTTTAATTTAATCTTTTATTTAACCCTTTTTATGAATGGGTAGGGGTACAAGTACCCCTTACTCATTCACAAGGGGGGCCGCATCTGGGTGCCCCTTTTTTAAAGGGGTACCC